TATTTTTAGCCTGTGCAAAAAGGATTCATTGGGTAATTTCCTGATGGAGTGCATTGCCTTGGGAACTTATAGCTGTTTATTTAATGTAGCACATATACTGATTATGCTTATTTAAATGTATTGATAATGTGCATTTTTCATTTCACAGTGCCTACACATTACACATGGATGCACACATGTACACCAATGTAGCACACTGAATGCTTCTCGTTGTCACAGTTGATGATTCTGAACTGTTGTTGTCCAGAATACATTCTGAAAAGAAATCAAGCTAAATTGGTCTATTGTCTTTTTCAGTGTAGTGTAGAAATATCAAAGGCTATGTGTCACCCAATAAAATCTACTGTCGAATATTATTTTTTGAATGTTCTAGTGTTATAAAGCCCCAGATGGTAAGAAGGCCTACAGTGACTGTGGAAGTCACTAGTTTATGAGTGGGAGTTTTAGAAACTTAAAGCCAACTCTCCAGAAACTCTTTGATGTGGCTACTCTGTGAAGGATGTATAAGAATATTTTTCGCTCAACTAACAACAATCATGTCCTTGAAATATGTATTAATACTTAGAAACAGTGACATGATTGGTTCATGAGAATCTTACATCAAATAATACATTCTCCTTAAGAAACACAAGGTAACAACCTCAACTCTGGTACGTCATTTCAGGCAAAACAAGGAGTCTAGAGATCAAAATTAGCCCAGTAAAATAAACATATGTGGCTGGAACTGTATTGTCAGAGTAAGCGATTGAAGGATAAAATAAAGAACCAACTGGTTTGTCATCGTTGTGTATGTTGTCGTTTTGCTGAAAAAATGCAAGATAATGCATTTAAATGATCATCTCACGTAGAATTAACTAAATTTATTGGCACTGAAAGAATATAGCCTTGTATTTTATGACATTTACTAGAATAATGCTCCCCAAATTACATGATTGTAAAAATTTCCTGGAGTTCAGTTGTTTTGGAACGTGAGCCAGGAACTCATTCATGCTTTTAACAAATGCTATAAGCGATTCTTATGCTAAGCAACATTTGAAAACTCTTCATGAGCATTAATCTTTTGATGAATTGATTGTTAACTTGAGTAAAAATAATTGTTAATTAAGTCCAACTAATTTAACTAATTTGATATTTGTATATTTATTTTCACAACAAATGTCTTTGGCATTCCTGTCAACTTTTGCTATTTTTAAAAAATAAAAATAGAAGCTATAGTAGACTTGTATTCTCTCAGAAGGGAGAGGTATTGTTATTTAACACTTAACTGTTAATTACCTTTTTTTTTTTTTTTTTTTGCTAAATGATACAATTACTTTTTTTGAAGCCACATATTCCATGGCAAAGCTGAACTCAGCTTTCTTAACTAATTCTTTTTATTTTCCTCTTCATGAGGAATTCTCAAAGTGTAATTTTCTATAGTTCAGGTTTTTTAAATCAAGAAGACTTCATCATGAGTTCTGATTAACAATTTGGGAGGAATTATTTAAAAAGGAAGACCTAGTTTATGGTGATATTTATCTGCTGGAATCTTCAATTTCGCATTCCACAGAGTGGCAGCATTTTTAATTACAGAAACAACGAATCCTGCACCTGTGTTTTTCAGAGTGGTCTGTGGGCCTTCACATTAGCATCACCTAGAAACTTGTTAAGCAAATATATTTTGTGCTCCACTTCAGTCCCACTGAGGCTCAATCTGAATTCCCACTTTTAACAAGCTTTCCAGGCACTTCTTCTGGTGCCTAAAATTTGAGACCCGCATCGTTGGATAGTTTTCAGCTCTGGATGTTCGGTGGAATCACGTGAAGAGCTTACTTAAAAAATGCTAACATTAGGTACAAAACAAGACAGCTTGGTTATGTCTGAATATTTGGGACTCTGGGACTTTTTAAGCCTTCCCAGGTGATTCTAAGTGAATCTAGGACTTCAAATTATTGTTAATAGATCCCTTAGAAGGATGCTATGAATTATTTCACCCCTCACCAAATCTTTATGTCACAGTATCAAGTATGCCAAAGTTATTATTTCTATTCATACATTTTAATATTTAGTAATACAATTTCTATTTCATTTAGGAAAAGTATGCTGAGAAATGGATCTTAGTTCAGCCTGAGACCACCTAAGAAATGATTTGCATTCTGAGCCCAGTTTTCAAGTTCGTAATTGTTCTTTATTGCCAAGAACAATATTGTTCCTTTTTATTTTTTATTTTTTTTATTTTTTGCTAAATGGGAGTACAATTACTTTTTAGAAGTCACGTATTCCATGGCAAAGCTGGATTCAACTTTCTTAACTAAATTTATAAAGAACAATATTGTTCTTTATTGCCAAGAACTATAGAAGTAGGATATTTCTTTGCTTAATTTAAACCAGTTATTGATTTTCATAAACTTATAGTGCTATCATTTATGCTGGCTTTGTGTTTTTCTTTTCTGTTTTTTGAGACGTTTCACCTTTTATTAGTAATTGTTTGTTTGTATATTTATTTATTTATTCAAGAGGTTAGAAAATTGGCCTAAATTTTTCCATAAACCAGTCATTCACAGTCCTGATGACTTTTGCCATATGTCACCTTTCCTAGAATATTATTTATCTATGTTTTAATTTAAATAATGATGTATATATTATTCTACTATGTAAGTAAAACTATTAATAGTATCCATAAGGTCTTGAGTTTAATGCACTTAAGTTTTTTAAAAATACTGGCAATTTTTAAATCAAATACAGAGCTACTCAAATAATAATCTCCCTCTGTGTACCGTCAAAACCCAACTGACATATCACTGAGGATAAAATTATCTAATTTAGTCAAACAGTTAGCTAAATTATTAGTCAAACAGTTAGCTAAATTGAGATGTTCTCTATCCTTCAGAATCTTACTAAACCCTTCCCCACATACACATCTGGGTTCTGCAGTACCTACATTGCCTTAGAACGGTGACACCAGGCATTAAGCCTCAATAGAAAATGCAATCTTAAGGAATTTGTTTTAATTACTCTTACAGGCCATATATAAATGCTGAAAATCCCACAGCAATAAGTGATTGGGTCACCACAATTATGATTTTCTTATTTTTTTCTCATTCTGTTTCTATTTTGCCCATAAATATAGAGCTGATATTAATTAGGAATCTCTGGAGATAGGATGTCTTATTAATATCAGTTTTCCTTTTCTTTTCTTTGTTTTTTTTTTTTGAGAAGGAGTCTTGCTCTGTCTCCCAGGCTGGAGTGTAGTGGCATGATACCAGCTCACTGAAACCTCCACCTCCGTAATAGTTCAAGCGATTCTCCTGCCTCAGCCTCCTGAATAGCTGGGATTACAGGCGTGCACCACCACACCCGGCTAATTTTTGTATTTTTAGTAGAGATGGGGTTTTGCCATGTTGGCCAGGCTGACCTTGAACTCCTGACCTCATGATCCACCCACCTTGGCCTCCCAAAGTGCTGGGATTACAGGCGTGAGCCACCGCGCCCAGCCAATGGCCTTCCTTTTCTTCCTCAAATACATCCACCTCATTCTTGTCTCAAGGTTTTTGAGGCCACATTCCTGGCCTCAGCCAGCCTCAGCCTTCGAAAGTGTTGGGATTATAGGCGTGAGCCACCGTGTCCGGCCCCATATCAGTTTTTTAACCACTTGTCAATATTACGAATGTAATTAAAATTCCTGAGAATTTATGTGTGTGTCTGAAGTGCACAAACAATCCCAAACTTTCTTCAACTATAGAGGTTTCTCCTGATATTTTGAATAATGGGTCATATGCTATAATATGATTCGCAGTTTAAAATATATTATACAAATTATACACTGATTCATGATCCTTATAACATTTTATTTTTTCAATAGAGTTTATTTTCTCACATTTAAAAATCCTACTGAGGTAGAAATGACTTTAAGAAAGTTTAAATATGTTAATTACTTTGAAATCCAATCTAAAATAACCTTATGGGGCCTTTTGGAACTATTTAAATTTTCTTAATGATTTATGTCTGCTTCATCTTTGTTAAGTGTTTCTTAAAAGGCTGTTTCTTTAAGATATGCATTCTGCTTAAACAGCTCATTCATTCTAAGAGGCTTGTGTTTGTTCACTTGTTATGCTTATGATGGAAAGATTTACCACCATTCTCCTCCTCCCAAATAAAATAAATAATAAGGTTATTTATCTTAAACTTAAAAAGTAAGGCCAAAAACATTTCCCTTTAGGATTGACTGTGTACTTCAAGTAGATGCAAACAGAGTAGAAAAACAAGATGATTAAAGATCTTGGTCACTTTAAAAGGTTACCTGAGGGGACTTTATTTTAAGGTTATTATGTGAGTAGTACCTTAAAAAGAAAGGAACAAAATACCTGGGGAGCAAGAAGGAAGGAAAGGAAACAGCAAAGAAGGACTCACATGTTATCATTCCTTTCATTTCTGTTTCTCAAATAATTTTAAAAAATAGATAAAGGGACAAATGTGGAATTTAACCTTGAGAAAACCATTAATGTGATAATGACTTTTAAGTTACTGAGTTACTGATTCAAACCTCTCCTTAACCCAGTAGTGAAGAAAAAAAGAGAAATTGTAAATGGGCTTGATTTTTAAAGAAGGTTTTTCTTTTCTTTTTTTCCAGCCAACTGGGCATTCTTAAATCTCTTTCTTCACCATCACAATAGGAATTAGGCCTAAGAATTATAAGTTTATACAGACATAAACAGAGAGGGAAGGAAAAGTTTAACAAGAGTTATCAAATTAACAAACGTACTTACATATGTTCCAACAACACATTATTTAATTTATTTTCATCTATGATCAGGTAGAAACCAGAAGAAACATTTGTAGCTTAATAAATAATTTAATTTCTTGAATTTCTATGTAACATATAAATTTATTTTTACAGGATATATAGAGAGCATACTCATAGAGAGCAACAGACTTATGAAACGACTATAAAACACAAATTATAATTTGAGTTTAAAATTTCTCATTTTTACACTTGTATTTGTCTATTTTCCTATTGCTAGTCAAAGCAAAACCAAATATATAATTGTAAGTATTCTAAGAAAAAAAGGAGCGCCTCCATCACCTACACATGAGTTACATACATTCTAGATTGTACAAAATCAAGAGGGTAGGCAAAACTAAAGGGAAACACTATATAAAAATGCACTTTTTACTGACTGTTGAACAGATCTGAGAGTGTCTAAGTTTCAAATATGACTTGAACACCAGCAGAGGAAAATGACTCCATCAATTTTCCTATTTGGGTTCCCTCAAACTCTGAAACTGTAAGTTTTTGCAGTTCAATAGCAGATTATGTGAACATACCTCCACTACTTTGGTGGGAAGAATACACTAAGGATTCTAGTTAAGAGGAGCATATACTGCAAGGAATATGGACAACCACCCATGTATCCTAACATTAAGATGTCTTCATCCCAGTTGAGAATTAACCTAAATGGTCACATCTGATCTCCCCAAATTTAATCTCTCATTGACTAGTAAAGATAGATCCAAATTACTTTGCCACATTTTCATGCACTACGTAATAATGTCATTTCACATTAAATCTTTTTTTAATGACACAGCATGCCCTTTGAAACTTAATGTTATCTGGATTATGAAGGTTAAAATTTACACATCAATATTACATGTAATATTCTCAAGTTCATGTGCAGTTTTTCCGATTCTATTCATTTAGTAGTGGAGAGAACATAGTGTAATGATTTTTTAAGAGTGATTGCCTTTGTTAAAAAGAGAATGCGCTTCAGACTTACAGACCATGGGGGAATACATCAATGAAGATAGTGAATGGTAGAAAAAACAATAGTACTTTACTTACTTTAATGAAGAATTCAGAAACATGAGTTTGTCAGTGGACCCAGAGGCTATTTAGAGAAAAATTTTCCAATGAGCAGGAGAAATACACACACACACAGACACACACACACACACGAAGACATGTTTTACGTTCTGAGCCTGGAAGGAAGAAATGATACTTGATAGAGGATTGGAATTGAGCTCCAATTTTTTTACATCCAAAATTACATCCATTTTCTATGAATGTGATGGAAATTTGATGATGATAAGGCACATTCGTTTAGGATTAGGATTAACTCATCATCATCATATCGTCCTTCTCTTGCTTTATTCAAATTTAGTTAGATCTTACAGCTCCTTGTGACAGTATCTCAATTTATTAACAGAGAATAACCTTTCACCTTGCTACCAATCACAAGTAAAAGGTAAAACTTAATAACCACTACCTAACTTTATTCTCAAAATTCTTCATATTCCTCCAAAGTCATATCATAAGTTATGAAACTGGCAAAACCATAATTGCTGAAAATCAAATATATAGCCACTTCTAAATCTTTGCATAAAAAAACTTGGTGGGATTTTCTGTTTTTTAGAAAAACATGTCAAATGTTTATTTCTTCTTTTCCCGTACTGGGTGAATTCTTAGTTATGTTGTAGGAAAAATAATTAAACATAAATCCCAAATAAATTTACTGAAATAAGGCATCATTGTCAAATTACATAATTTCACATTCACCCCAAACTATTTTTAGAATGGGTGAAGACATGAGTAAGATTATCACAACAATGATAGCCAATTAGTTTTTATCTGAGCATGAATTATTTGTCATCATACAAAATTTTTGTTTACAGTATGCTAGGTCTCCCACAAAGTCAAGCCATTTTGGAAGGAGACATGTCTCTAGTAGAACAACAATTATCTCCCGAGTTTTTATGAATGAAGGTAGAGAGTGGTAGACAAAACAATGCCTGCAAGATATGTGGGTTTATCTGAATATCAGTTTCTGAGAATACCTTCTAAATCCAAACACCAGTAGCTTTTTAGGTGATAGATATCTTGAGACTCACACCCAGACGAACACCGTTTTACACACATTAACAATTTTATCTGGAACTTCAAGGGCTTTGTTATTTTATTCCTTTTTATAGACCCAAGGTACCCTTGAACCCAAGATTAAGATCTGCTATTAAGGATAATCAAACTTTGATTATTGGTTACCTTCTTCGTTCAGAACAATAAAGTGTAAAGGATTGATGATAAAGCAAGGAATAGCCTCTGCTTCCATTGACAAGCTTCTCCTTTTAGGGATTCTAGTTGCATCACCATCTTTTGGTAATAATTGTATAAACTGTTAGAAAAGTTCCTCAGCAACAGGGAATGTGTGTCTGTCTGTAGATGGGATTTCTAACCTATTTAATAATATTTCACCTCTATTAATCAGCTATGTCAAAAATAAGATTAATGACCAAGCAAGTTCAGATCAGAGACAGGAAGGGATTTTCCTCTTCTATGTGTATTCTCTTACTTCCAGTCAGTCATTTCATTTGTATAATGCTGATGCTATCCTTTGAATTTCAATATGCTTTCTTCTGGGGCTAATGATACAAAACTTAACCTAATAAATAAAGAAATTAATCACAAGATTAAAAAAAAATACTCCTTAGAAAAAAGAGAACTAGGGCATCATTCCAGAATCCAAAAATAATTCACAAATGTATGAATCGATGTTTTCCTAGAAATGGTGATCTTAATTTATATAAACGATATCTGAAAAGTTAATGACTATTCTAGGATAAACAAGATTACAGTTTAGGGGTTGGCTCTCAGTTAATATTTGTTCTTGTTATAAAATGCTAGATAGTAATGAAATATGGAAGAAACCAGCATCTATATTTTAAGATTAAGCTGATAGGGTCCAAATACATATACTATGAAGAAAGTAATAATCACAAAGTGGTTTACTGTTTGAGCAATCGAGTGTTTAGCTATAGAAATATAGTAGATTCAGGTCTCTTAACTCATTATGTCTCAGATTTGTTTCATAGAATTGATCTAAACTGAAATCAGCTGTCTACATGAGATACAAATGTCTTCTCTGCCCACAGGAGACCTAAGGAATGGAGTACAAATTAAATAAGCAAAAGTTTGAGCACCAGAATAAGGGGTAGGATGCTCATAAGCAGCAAGTAGAGGTTACACTAAAGAACCAGATGATCTTTAGAATCCACAACGTGTCGTTCAGAGCTCGAGCGGCAAATGATGAAAAACAGGCAATACCAAACATCACATATGTCCAAGTCTGGAAGTCCATTCTCTCCCCCAGCTTGGCTAACATATTCATACTTTCAACTGTGTTTTTACAACTAGAATATTCTCATCCCCCACAGCCCCCACTGAAAAAAGCGAAGGATGAAACCTAAGCACTAGGGGACATCGATTTTTTTCTCTTTTTATTGTGAGTTCTAACAGAACTTTTGTTAAACACAGAGCACGTGAACACATGACAGTTTCCTTCATTTGTTCTCACATGGAGCTGATAGAGGAATACTTGGGAGGAATGTTTCTAAAGCCATAGATAGCCTCTTTTGCATTTATTTCATTTTTTAAATATGACAAAGCATTAGAGGAAAAAGAAGTTTCATAAGTTGTGAGAATATCAAATATTACCCATCAATCCCTGAATCATGCTATTCAAAGTGCTTAAATCTACACTAAAAAGAGAACAAAAAATGTACTCCCAATGCAGCTAAATTAATGCCTATGGATGCCTAAAATATGACTGTGGTCTGATTACTTCCTCTACATTTATTCCACACTTCCATCGTGCACTGAAAAGAAAATTAAAAAACAAAGAGATAAATGAGGCCATTGCCATGTTTACAGTTTTCTGAGCACTGGGGGGAGTTTGGAATCCAGTCCAATGAGGTACACTGCCACCAGTCCCTGACAGCTGTCCATAGTACAAAGTAAACAATGGCCTTCTCAGATTCGGAAAATAACCCAATGTGCAAAGCTGACCTTAAAGTTGTATGTGTCCTTGCAGCTTCAGTTCTGGTTTGTGAAAATGTGACACAGATCCAAGGGGAGAGCACGGGAATAAAGAACAGATTGTAGAGAAGGACCCAGGCGAGTTGTCAGGGAAATAAACATTTTTTAAGCAAATAATAATCAATGCACATCCCGAGGCTCCTTTACCTTGTCACACAGATACTGAGACCTTTTCATTGTTCCAAATGCTTATACTTCTTCCTCATATATTTGCAAATTAATCTCACCTTCCCCAATGAACCCCATTGCAGTTTACACTTTTGTGTGTGTGTGTGTGTGTGTGTGTGTGTGGCCACCTTACTATTGTGACCAAAGTGTAGAATTGTTTTCTCATTAAATGGTGGTAGGAATAAAGCAAACATACAATAGTCACTACACAGGCCCACAGATGATGACTGGGATGAGAGTTCCTACAATGAATCACTAAATTAATGTATAAGTTCTATTATCAGTGTTTTTATCACATTGATTTTTTTAAAAACTAAAAGCTACATAGGTAATAGTTCCTTTTAACAAATCTGCCCTCTGCAGATTCCTTTGTGATTGATTTTGCATCAACCTTCACATGAATATGAATTAGCTGCTTATGTCATTGATTTCAAACATAAAGCTAAATGGTAAGGGATGATTTCTTGGGAGCATCAGCTTTCTGTTTTCTGAAAGATAGAATTACATAGCTAAAATAAAGCAAATTCTTTATACAGTAAAATTAATTATTTTAAATACTTTCTGATCTAATTTAAAAACTATTTTGTATAAATAATGTTTATTTTGAAAATACTGATCTCTGTTGGTATTCATATGTTTGACCTCCTGAGTTCTTAAACACCTTGATATTAATAAGTTTTGCTTATGTCCACAAACTGAAACCACTTAATTCTTAATGTAGTGTTGAAAATTAAATACAAGCGAGTTAACATTTAATTACAAGGGGGTCGCACAATAAGTTTCACAGATTTTCTCTGACTCTTCAGAAAATAACATTTTGTATAATACAAGGTGACAAAACATTTGATGACACATCCTGTCCTTCCCTTTGGTTTGGAAGCCTTCAGTGTAAATTTCATTTTGACTTGCGTTGATTCACTCTTTTGAATTGACTTGCCTGGCATTTGCACATAATCTCATTTGCAGAGAAATTATAGAGGGAAAAGAGGAAGTAGAATATTAAACAAAAACAGCCACAAACACATTCATGCCTTTCCAGGAAGTGATCAAATATAGGGCTTGAATTTTTTTTTTTTGTTTTTTTTTTGTTTTTTTTTTCTTTTTTTTGTTTTGTTTTGTTGTTTTTATATATATTTATATTTATATATATATGTATATATATATAAGGGTACATCAACTCATTTAAAAAACGGAAATAACACTCTTCCCCAATTTCATGCCCTTGATCTTCTCTTCTTAGCACTCTGTAGTGGTCACTGTGAAGTGATTAGCACACCTTTGGGTCTAGAGTGTATTCTGAAGAGCAGTGACTTAAATGTTAAGACAGTTAGACCCGCCCCCACCCCTCCACAGAGTTTACACATCATGCTGCCGTTAGAAAGGTAGAGGTGGGGAATGAGGTGGGACAAGGAAGAGATTCAGGGCTCTGACTGGTGGGGCCCTCTTATGAACAAGTGTTCTTCTCATCTTTTTTTTTTTTTTTTTTTCCCCCAAATGGCAATGCTGGCATTTGTTGCATTGTTCTCTGAAGGCCGATGTGGCCCAGTTGATCCTAGGCAGAACCCGAGAAAGAATCCGGTGCTCCTTGTCCCATTGGATAGATTTGTCCAAGCACCCCAAGGAAATGTTAAAAGCAAAGTAAAACTTTAAAAAAGGAAATAAAATAAAAACCCATTCTAAAACTAAACTAATGAAGCAAAAAAAGGGTTTTCTATCTACACATCAGTCTCTTCTTTAAAAAAAATGTAAATTTACAAATTCCAACGACATATAAAACAAAGTCAAAAAATGTAATGGTAAAAGACATGGTAAAACAGGAGGACACTGATGCTACAAAGAAATTCCAAAAAACATATGTACAAGACCCTGTTTTTCCTCGTGTTCTAGAGATTGTAATGCATGTTTTTTTAACAGCAGCAGTCGAGGATTTAGTTCCAGGCACTGGACTGCAGATTCCACTCAAGCTCCCAGGGACGGGATGCCCCTTGCTTTTCTGTCACCAAATCACACTGGATATACTGGTCTCCCTTGGCAACAGCGGCAGGATGGCACTGTTTGTGTGGGCCTCATCTGGATTCTGCTCTCTGCTCGATTTTGTCTGTGGCCGCTGCCCGTTGATGAGTGTCATAGGGATGTTACAGTAGGTATGCTGATTGCCTATGGAGGTAAGAGGCAGGGTGCCGGTAGGAGGTACGTCATACTCATAGCTTCGGTAGTAGTGTTTCTGACGCATTTGTGAATGGTACGTGTTGTGAAAGGTAGAACGGAGATCTGGATGGGCAGTGGCTAGAGCGGTGGAGGTGGCCGCGGCCATGGAAATGGCCGAGACAGTCTGCAGCTCCCCAAAAGGCCCTTGCTCACTGACATCTAAAGCCTGCTCATGTGTCATGGGTTCTATCCTCTTAAAAGGCATTTCGTACTGTAAACGTTTCCAGAACTTAGAGTTCAACTTGTTGCATTTTGGTCCATGCCATTTAATGACCGTCAGAAGCTTGATGGTGTGCTTGAGGGCCTCCACCTCCTGGTAGTTCATAATTCCTCTCAGTTCACTGCATTCAATTAGAATCACTTTAATTTCTCCAGTCACAAGCATATTTCGAAGTCTGGTTTCCAGCTCAAAGATGCTCCAGCCCCTTCTAACTACGTAATTTGGGGTCATGACAATAATCAGCCGCTTGCTTTGATCTACACATCTTGCCACATCTTCAATGTAGGCTACAAAAGATAAAAGAGTGCATCAGAATGAGTGAATGGAAAATTTGGTCCAGAAAGTCCTAGTAGAATCTCTTTCAGAAATTAAATGAAAATAGTTCACTGAATAGAGTTTGGGACTTGCTTCTCCTAACGTCAGCAATATTTTTTCCTGGTACAAATCTCTCATTTGGTTTCTTTCAATGTCAAGGCTCACAAAATGAGATGCTTTATACAGTAATGGAGTATCTTCTCTGAGCTAGCAAAAATTAAATTTCATGTGAACACACACAGACATTTCTTTCTAGGGAAACTAACAGATACAAATTTTGAAGTAAAGAACCAAACATTAAAGTTCCATGGAAAAGTGATGACTACACAGACACTCACATGAATATGCACACTCTCAAATGAAAACATTAACTTACTTCCAGTTGGGATTAAATCTCTATCTGGTATAAACAACTTGTATCCATAATGCTTTTCAAGCATATCAGGTAGGATTTCAAGGGCAAAACGTTCTTCTTCCCCAGTCTCTTGATTCCACTGGTCAGGATCCACTTTGGTGTATGATAAGTATGCATCATAATCTTTATTGTCTGTTAAAAAATTCCAAAGAAAAGTAGAAGTCACTACTCTACAAAGATAACAATAGGACATGAAAACATGCACACTTTTTTCATAAACATCTCCAAATGTCCCATTTCTGAAAGACCAAAAAAGGAAGCCTTCATTAATTTTCGTTGAGTTCAATGATGCCAAATATTCTAAAGCTAGTTTGGAGGTACAAAGGTTTATATTTTGATTTGTTGATGACGTTGTTGTTGTGAAAAAAGTAGGAGAAAAATCAATGAAAAGAGCAATGAAATGCAGACTTCCTTTTTTTTTTTTTTTGAGACACACTCTTGCTCAGTCGCCCAGGCTGGAGTACAGTGGCGCAATCTCGGCTCACTGCAACCTCCGCCTCCCAGGCTCAAGCCATTCTCCTACCTTAACCTCTCAAGTAGCTGGGATTACAGGTGCCCACCACCACACCCGGCTAATTTTTATATTTTTAGTAGAGATGGGGTTTCGCCATGTTGGCCAGGCTGGTCTTGAACTCCGGACCTCAGGCAATCCACCTGCCTCAGCCTCCCAAAGTGCTGGGATCACAGGCGTGAGCCACTGCACTCAGCTGAATTTCACCATTTTTGATCCACAGATCACAGAGAATCTTGATTGCTTGTAAAAGCCGTATGTTTGGATATCAGTATGCTCTTACTTTAAATGTTATTATGTTCAATTGATCCTACCCTTGGCCATTTTACCCAGTTGAAAAAAGAGAGAGAAAATGGCAACTGACTGAACTGTGGAGGAATGATTTTTTAGATTATGTGTGCTGTGTTGATTTTCTGTTGGGGAGAAAATAAAAGCAAACTTGGGATAATTATTTACTGGGAGTCAGTTCTTGCATATTGGGACTGAGAATATTATTAAAATGAATGATTATAAAAAGACATGATTTTTCTGGTCTCTACTCATCTTACACATAAAATATTGCCAAGTTATTTTTCACCGTGCTAATCTGTTTGTTCATAAGAATCAAAAAGTAGAATGTAAATGAAAGAAACTTAGTTCTAAAATCTAATTTCTCTCCTTACTCTTCCCCCTTTTTACATGAGAAAATTTTAAATGTTTGAGGACTACTATCATTTGTTATCTTTATCTTAATTTTTCTAATATACCATCTCAGATTTCTCATTTGTTGTTTCTAAGAATAAGAAATCATTTATCCTCTGGATAGTCTTTGTTTCGTCAATTTCTTTTTTAGACTAAGATATCAAGATTCATAGTTCACTTAAATTTTAAACACTGTCGATATGCTGAGTCTACCAATATCAATGTCTTTAGCTCTCTACTGTGCTTCCCTGATGATAGGCAGTGTATTACCTGATGATTAGATCAAGTTAAATTGAAACACTCATAAATTTCAGAATAAAATGAACTCTGCATTAAGCATGGAACTTAAAATATTTGGGCTATAAAACATCAACGATAGAGGGACATTCTTGACCGTTGCTCTGGGTGGCTTTGGGACAATCCTTTTGACTTCAAGGACACTAAAACTCACTTCCTGAGATTTATACATGTGTGTTAATTCCAGTAGTCTGATAATTTTGAGCCATCTAGACATCATTCTATGATTGTAACTTTTCAGGGCAGACTCAGAAAAGTGTTTGCTACATGTAAAGTTAACACAGGTATATAAGGCACTAACAACTCCACTATAGGACACCTGGAATAAAAACTTTAGCTATAGAAGAGTTTTTTAAAAAGCAGCTTTTAGGGGAAAAAAGTTTTAGAGAAACAATCATACCAAATGTGTCATATTTTGGCATTTCTTATATTCCTTAGGCAGGATATAGTTTTACATTTTAAAAAACAAAATCCAGTTTTCTCCAAAAATAATTATTATATTTACTATAGCAAGGCTATATGCCCATAGGCCAGTACAATCTATAATTGTACCACTCATTGATGTAAACACTTTAGTTGAGTAAGGAATCATTTAAAAAAAAAGGACACAATAAAGCCAGTATATAATATCAGTTAATATTTAATTAAAATACTCATTCATTAACTATTCACATGCATTACCTGTGAGATATTAAACTGTCTTTACAATATTGGTCATTAGTTTCTAGCCTAGTAGGAGATGCAGACAAATCAATAGTTCATTCCTAAGGGATGAATGTGTTACTAAGTGTAGTTCAGGAGTCACAGGCTAACGGGAGGACTCTTCAGGCCAGATTGTGGATTGTAGTATTATTTTGGGCATGTGCTATTTTCTTTCTGGTAATCTGTTATTTTCCAGTTTGCCACAAAGTAGTGCAAAGTGTTGAAACTCCCCTAAATTGGGGTTGTGTAATAATTAGATCTTCATTCATTGCCTCATGTCTTCTCTAGGCTTAAGATTATTTTAAAGCCATATCAACATGAATACCAGTAAGAACAGAACATTCAGAAATCAGAAGAGATGTGAACGACTGGTCCACCCATACTGATAAATTTCAGATAAATACTACCTTTGCTTACATAACATAATGTTTTTGATTACCCTGCTTCTTTCATCGAAACCTCTCTTACCACCCATAAATACCGTCTTTCTGCAAGATATTTTCTGCGGTCCACTTCATTTTTCTTTCAGTCCACTTTCCCTTAAAAGTATCCTTTCCTTCCATAACATCAACTTCCATAACATCACTTCTGTGTAGATGCCTCCTCAATTTGGATGCACGATCCTGTTCTATTTCTCCTGAATTATGACAGTCCCCCAATCCTACCTGTAACCTGAACACCTTAATTTGCATTCTCATCATGCACCTCACACTTCACATGCTCACAACACAACAAGCTTTCCATCTCAAGCTCTGTTCTTCACCTTTTATTACATTTTAATTTTAGTAACATACAAATCTAATTTCTTTAATGTCAAAACCTCAGATGCATGTTCCACCTATCCCTTATCTTTACTAATAATCTCATTGCCATTCATTGGTACAAATCTATTGGATTCTATTTCCATGCTAGGTTAGGCTCTACTCATATCTCAGTTGTTATCATTAGAGTGGTCTTCCCTTTCCATTTCTTTCTCCTTCTGGAGAATAGAGTCACCAAATTTACCTTCCCAGACCCTACCACTGATCATGTGTCATGGTGGCTTAAAAATATATCTGTGTTGGCCGGGCGCGGTGGCTCAAGTCTGTAATCCCAGCACTTTGGGAGGCCGAGACGGGTGGATCACGAGGTCAGGAGATTGAGACCATCCTGGCTAACACGGTGAAACCCCGTCTCTACTAAAAAATACAAAAAACTAGCCGGGCGAGGTGGCGGGCGCCTGTAGTCCCAGCTACTCGGGAGGCTGAGGCAGGAGAATGGCGTAAACCAGGGAGGCGGAGCTTGCAGTGAGCTGAGATCCGGCCACTGCACTCAGGCCTGGGCGACAGAGCGAGACTGTGTCTCAAAAAAAAATATATATATATATATATATGTATGTATATGTGTGTGTGTGTGTATATATATGTATGTATGTGTGTGTATATATATGTATATATATGTGTGTGTATGTATATATATGTATGTATATGTGTGTGTGTATATATATGTATGTATGTGTGTGTGTGTATATAGATGTATGCATATGTGTGTGTGTGTATATATGTGTGTATGTGTGTGTGTGTGTGTGTATATGTGTGTGTGTGTGTGTATATCTCTATGGCTACTCATTGTCTAAATAATCAGCAGCTGCAATTTTAGCTTGTTTTCCTTGAAGTTTAGTCTGATTTCCTTCATTTGGAAGCGATATTTTTCCCATGTATTATATGATTGTGCTTATATCTTATCTTCTCTCTTAGACTATGAGATCCTTAGCTCAGGTATGTGACTAGGGCTTAGTAGATGCTCAAGTTTATCAGTTGATGAAATGAACGAATGGCCTTTCATTTTGGCATCACATGACTCATACCCTGTAGCTAATTTTGAGATTTTTCTCAAGACCCTGATCATTTCTCAGGAGAGACTGCTTTGGAGATGTAGACTCCATGTTGCTCTGACTTCTGAAGGAATTACTGGGAGCTGTGGTTCAGAGTTTAGCAAGGCTCCTTTGGAATAGTCTTGAACTGTGGCTTCTCACCGTGATTCATGAAAAGACCTTAGGGTCTGTGTAAATGCCTCTAGGAAAGTGGTTTTCAGACTTGAGCATGAATGACAATCATTTGGAGGGCTGGGCCCCACCTCTAGATTTCTCATTCAGTAGGTGAAGAGTAAGTTCCTAGAATTTATATTTACGGCAAACTCTCAAGAGATGCTGCTGCTGATTGAGGGACCACACTTCGATAAACTGTTATAGAACAGGATATAGGCATGCAGAGGTCTCAATGACAGCAAACAACTGCAGTTATCTGCCAGGTATTTGGCCACAGCATCATAAAAACTAAACCTTGCCCCCTCAGCTCCATGATAGATGGTCCTAATACTTAGAGGAGATATATTCCCAATAAATAGCTGAGAATTCACGTTTTTATCAAAAAGGGGATAAATGTTTGCCTAGACTAATATATGAAGTAACCATATTAATCCTAAGTGAAATTTAGGAATTCGTGCTATGACGTCAGTTAGTTTTCTATCTCTTTATGTCATCTGGATGTATTTATAGCACTTAAGTGAATATCTCCCAGTTATAATGTTATACTGTTTGTAGAAAGCCTCTTTCAAGCATCTGCAGCACCATCCTCAAACCAATGGGACACTTGAGTGATATCTAATTTCTCTCTTTCTCCAGAGTCTGCATCAGTGCAGTAATGGTTAGGCATTTATTTACCACCAGAAGCAAACCCATGATTTGAAAGTCGTCAGACTGGAAACAGAGTGCCAGATGCCATACTAAATTCAGCAATGTTTTTTGGTTCAAAATCATATGGACTCTAAGGTGTCTTCCCTTTTTCAATTGCCAACTGTATATGCATCTTGGATAGTATGTCTTAGATTGTTTTGATATAAGTAAGAACATAAATTGACGTATTTTACTGTGTATGAACTTCATGTGACTAGTGAAACTGAA